AAAAGGGATGAGTACGAGTATTATGAGAAAGAATTAAGGTCATAAGTTTTATGGATAATAATAATTTTAAAAGTGTATAAAATAATATAAAAAAAATAATATTCACACCTCGAGATAATCAGTGGTGGCTAATAAAAAATGTAAAAATTGTGTAAAGATCTATGAGAAATAAAAAAAAAAAACACAGGCTGGGATATATATTTGTCTTCTCACTTCATAATTACTAAATAAGTCCAATTAATATTCGAAACTTATTTTTTTTTTTTATATTAACTTTAAATACACCCGTCCGCGCGATATATATTTTATCGATGAATGAAATTTTCACGAGAAAAAAAAAAAGAAAAAACAAGAAAAAAACAAATTGCGTAGAACTACAAGAGTTACGTAGTAGGAAGAGAAATTATCGATCGTTAATGCTTGTAAACCGGTCTTGTCTCTTGCGGTTATCTAATTTCGAATACGTTTATATACGCATAGGAGAGGAATGAACAAGACGATTAGTTATTATTAATCTTGAATATTTCATTTATTTATTTATTTTCAATTTCGTTTATATGCAAATAATTCGTTTGAAAACGAAGTGGTGAGTGGGGTGGGGCTAGGGGGGGAAATAAAGATTTCATTATAGCGGCCACACGTAGAACAGTTTCCTCTACATTGCTGAAGGAACGAAACAACGGATTATTGTTTCGTTTGTTTGTGCGGGTAGAATAAAAAGAAAAAAAAGAAATAAAGAACATTTCTAATAAAAAAAAACAAAGTAAAAGAAAAAAAAAATTATAAAGTTTTACCACCCGTACCGGTATTCTTCGTTTCTTGTATGTACAGTTACGGGAGTTACGTAACAACGCTACTTTAAAACATTGTAGAAAATACACGTGATAAAGATAACGGGTCCTCGGTGCATGGTGCAAATGACATTACGATCTTCGTTCTGTTATATACTTCGTAACTTATATGTGCACGCACACGCCTACTTTCATATATATATATATATATGATTATATATGCATGCATGGATGCATTGTGTATATACAAATGTATCATACGTAGATATAATACACACGGTTATAAGTGTCCGGTAGAATGGGCTGCCGGCATTATCGTAAATCATAACCGAGACGATCTTCAATTATTCTTTCGTATTCCGACGTATATTAATTTAACATATTGCTCCTCCTCCACCATTTTCTTCTTCTTATTCTTCTTCATAGTTCATTTACTATCCTCCCCTAAGATTCATTTTGATAAGAGGGTACAAAAATTTGTGTTACTAATTCGATTCATTTATTTTTTTATTCAGATATTGGCCAGTATTTTTTCTTCCTTCTTTTGTTGTTGTTGTTGTTGTTGTTAGTTCAAACCGCAAGATTTCACGTAAATCATCGAGATCGACGTAATTCGAAAAAGAGAGGAAAACATCGATTCGTTCAATCTTTAAATGAAAACAAACGAGAAAGAAACGAGAGAACGAGTAAAAGAGAGATGAGACCCAAATTCAGAAGAGTATCATTAAATCGAATGCAATGTGATTCTCCCTAACCCGCCCCCCCCCTCTCCCTCCTCTTCCTCTTCCCACCCCTTCTCAATATCTTTTTCCTTCACGAGAAAGTACGGTCGAGTTAAAATAAAATCGCGTTATTCGTACGAACGTAAATCTTGCGACCGAATTAAAATGGGTTACCTTTGATCGTTACCGCTTATCGTTATTGGCTTACTTATATAAATTTCATTTTGCATTAAACAATTTTGACAATTTTCGATTAAATACGAATTTAATATAACGAAAAAGTAAATGATAAGAAAAAATATGTTAATTTTTCTTTAATTCGAATATAAAAAATAAGAATGATTTATTTATTTTTATATTTGAATTATATTATATTGACATTTTTATTTTAATTCTTTTATATTTTTTGTTTCTTTTCTTTTTCATATTTTTTTTCGGCTTGATTTTTGTTTGTGTCTTTTCCCCCATACCCAACTCGTTTAAAATAAATTTTCGTCCTTTATTTTTTTTTTTTTTCGTTTCGTTTCATTTTCTCTTTCCATTCTTTGTCTCCACTGAAAGGAATTTTCTTTTTTCTTTTTCTTTTGGTGGCGAGGGTGGGAGGGAGGGAGAAATAAAACGAGGCGCATCGATCTTTCATGAATTTCTGCTTTCATGCAGAAGCTATTAAACTCCGAGACGTTTCTTTGTGAGAACGAACGAACGAACGCCTCTTCTCGTATGCTAATGCGCGAAACTTGTAATTGCTAATTTTTTGAACGTTCTATATGCATACTCCCTTTTTTTCCCTCGTTCCCCTACTCCCCGCCCTCTACTACTCCCACTCTTTCTTTCCTGTTCCCTTTTTTTTCAACAGTATATTACCACTTCTCCGTTATCGAATCTTTCATCTGGACGTTTACACGCGTCCACGCGTTAATAGAAAAAATGACGACTCAACTTGTCCGCATTAATTTAACCAAACCACACAACACAACACACGCACGCACGCACGCACGCACTTACACTTGGGATATAAGATATTCTTACTAAAAATATATGTGGGAAAGAAAAATAACGTAAAACGTATTTGGTATTGGAAGAAAAAATAAAAAAAAAAATCAATCTCGTTCGTGCGCATAAAGATACTACTTTACTCGTCGTGTTGCATCGCGAAGAAATAATAAAAAAACAAAATAAATAAATAAATAAATAAAAATAAAAGGATACGCGCGTTCGGAATAACAAACACTTCGATTTTACTAATACGCTTTTAAACGATCCGTCCTGACGTTTACTTAAATCGTTTCTTGCATACTAAATTATTTCGGTTTAGTATTTAAGAGATATATTTTCCTTAAAGATTTTATTTGACTTTGCAGATTTATTCGTTCGTAGTATTTCCTATAAACGTGTTTTTACTCGCGTATATCGGTTACGTAATATAAGACATTATAGAAAAGGATATATTTTTATTCTTATTATAAATGCAGAATGGAAATATTGAGTCGTTTGAGACTGGTATACGATGTGACCTTCTTTTGTAATTGAATAAATAAATTTCCTGTGAGAGGATATAAAAGGAAAAAAAGTGAAAAAGAGAGAAAAAAAAAAATATACGAAGAGATAAAGATCGTAGTCGCGTTGTAACAATTTTCTATTTTCTAACACGAACCTCTCTCTCTCTCTCTCTTTCTCTCTCACTCACTCTCTCTCTTTGACATTTCCTTGCAAGGAAGATCATTGGAACAAAAAAATAAGCATCGATTAATGGAACGAGGAATAAAATACCATCCGAGGTAAGAACAATGAGTCTGCGTATTTTCGATTTCACGCTTAGGGCAAAGATCATTCGAGTACGATTTGCGGATGACCGACTGACTGGTCGCAGAAATGTAATCGTGATAATTGCAAGTAGGTAACTGGGTAATACACCTGCAACTCAGAAAGATTTTTTACGTTTCTTTATCTTCCTTAAAGAAAAAAAAAAAAGAAAAAAAAAACATGTTAAATATTATCGTACGTGATTTGCTTAATAAATAAATTTGCAAAAAAAAAAAAATGACAAAAATAAATTTCGACGATAAGTTTATCCATCTTCGATACGAACTCTTATAGGAAAAATAATAATCATTTTGCCCTATTATATTTATTTTAACAAAAAAAAAAAAAACTTTCCACAAATTAATCTGGATATCAATTGAATATAATAATAATTATTAGGATTGAGGAAATGTGGTAATAAGACAAAGAAATTGAGTGCAATGTAATTAAGACTAATATGCCTATTTATTCAAATATAACAGTATAATACATATATATACTCGCTGGATCATCTTCCTCGAAGAGTGAATCATCATTCGACAAAAGACAGGTTTCCGTTTAATCCTGGTAGATAAGACTTTCCATAGAATACGATCGTTATTTTCTCATTCACGTGATATTACGTTAGCGCTTTTATTCTGAGAAGAACCAGGGCGAAAGCTGTTGGAATTTTTAACATATATATATATATATATATATATATCGTGT